TTCCCTCCCCCCTCTGCCCACCCCAACAGATATAACCAGCTGGAGTCCAGCATTGAGGACTGCTGCCTGTTTAGTCTATGGCTGAATCTCTAAAGCGGTGCCGAATCTTCAGATCCGATTTGGCTGAATCAAATCAGGACAGTGATCTGAATCACTAAATCTAATCTCTGTCCCTCTAAATCAGCCGAATCTGAATCTAAATCGGATACTTGCCACTTCACACAGGCCTAGAATGTATACATTCAAACAAAATACCCCTAAAGTTACAATTTAAACAAGTGATTAATCTCAAATGGTTATGACTACAAAGCCCTTAGCTCTTTGGTCATGTTAATATCATAGATAATTCAGAGGAAACTTCATCTTACTTTTATAATATTTTTCTTTTCATTTTTAATCAGGTGTTCTAGATTTCAGAGTCACGCTACTAAAAGGATATCAATAACTATGTCAAAATGTTGTCAATTCAGAAAGGTTTCCTGAATTACTCAGACCAGAATACGGAGAGTAAGATTCTATTCTTATTTTTCAGACCAGTAAAGAGAAGTATAGAGGATGAAAAGGGTCAGGTTATGGTAAATATAAGTCTAGGGTACATGTGAAATATATGACACACCCACTGTATGGAATATCTGTCAGCTTTGATTTGGTGAAATTGGTTGACAAGAATAATTTTTAGGTAAACCCACCTTTTAACTTTCATTTTGTGTATTTGTGAAACTGCAGTATTGGGATTTGCTGAAATACTCAGAACTTTAGGAACTCTTAAACCTATCATATATGTATATCTGCAGTTTTGAGATTTGTCAAAGAGGATGGAACTGGACTGTTCTCAGTGGCAACAGATTACAGTACAAGCAGCAATGGTCTCAAATTGCAGCAAGGGAGATTTAGGTTGGATATTAGGAAAACCTTTTTTATTAGGAGAATGGGGAAGCACTGGGACAAGTTGCCTAGACAGGTGGTGGTTACTCCATACTTGGAATTTTAAGGCCCGGATCAACAAAGCCCTGGCTGGAATGATCTAGTTGGGGATGGTCCTGCTTTGGGAAGAGGTTTGAACTAGATGATCTCCCGAGGTCCTTTCCAACCCTAATTTTCTAAGATTCTGTGATTTTTTTTTCTTTTTGATAAGTAATCACCAAGTAAATGTATTCCACACCAAAAAGTTTAAAAAGGCATTTTGAAATCAATCACACACTCTCTGATAACACTGGCATAGAATAGTATCCTGATTTAAATGCTTTTCATTTATAGATCTTAAAGCACTTTGTGAAGGCAAATCCCCAATTTACCAGTATGGAATCGAGGCACAGAAAGGGAAAGTGACTCAGTTAAGATCAAACAGCTGGTCACTGGAAGAGTTCCAATTTCTAGTTCTGAGTACCTGGTAATAGTAACTAGTCATTCAGTACCAACTCATACAGAAGTTTGTCATGCGGAAACAAATTTAATGACTTTCCAAATTTCTTTGTTTCAGAACATCGACTTTGCTTTTTTTACAAGTGTCTGAAAATAATGTGTCTCATTTCCATTCAAATGAAATGTTTCATTCTTTAGGAAACCCCTTTTATTCATTCAACTGAAAGGCGAGGGAGGGGAAAAACATTTGGATTGACTACATTTTCCCCACTTATTTTTTTAAAATTCACATAGCCCTATTCTGTTCATTTTACACACTGATATGCAGAAAACTCTTCCCTGTATGAAAACTGGGCATTTATAAAGAAAAGTAATAGAAAACAACATGCAAGTATTTCAGTATTTCTATATAAAATCAGATCCATCAATTGTGTATATTTAATCTTCTTACTGAAGTAGAATGGTTCAAATTGGCTCTTTGGTTCAGTTGCTCTGGTTCAGTTGCCCTGGCTCTCTGTGTTTGGGATTTGCCTGCTAGGTACAGAGCCAGAAGGTTGTAAGTTTAAGTCTGGTTGTGGGCCCAGAGCTCGCTCTGGACAGGGGTGTGCATGAAAATGTTTTCATGCATTAGCAGGTGCATCATGAATAGGTCCAGGGAGGTGATACTTCCCCACTATGCGGCATTGTTCAGGCCACAGTTGGAGTACTACGTCCAGTTCTGGGTGCCGCAATTCAAGAGGGATGTGGACAAACTTGAGAGGGTCCAGAGGAGGGCCACTCATATGATTAGGGGCCTTCAGGTAAGGCCCTACAAGGAGAGACTGAGGGACCTGCATCTCTTCAGCCTCTTCAAGAGAAGGTTGAGAGGGAATCTTGTGGCTTTTTACAAATTCATTGTGGGAGGGGGGGGAAGCAAGAAATTGGAGATGTTCTGTTTACCACGGCACCCCTAGGAATAACCAGGAACAATGGCCACAAACTGACAGAGAGTAGATTTAGGTTGGACAACAGGAAGAACTTCTTTACGGTAAGGGTGGCCAGAATCTGGAATGGGCTTCCAAGGGAGGTGGTGCTCTCCCCTACCCTGGGGGGTCTTTAAGAGGAGACTGAACAAGCACCTGCCTGGAGTCATATGACTCCAGTGCTCTTTCCTGATCAGGGCAGGAGGTCAGACTCAATGATCTATTGAGGTCCCTTCTGACCCTAACAACTTTGAAACTATGAAAGTGTCATTTCTTAATAAAAATCTTATGTACTGACACACGATCAACACAGCATATCTAAAAATATGAAAGGAAAAGATTTTTTGTGCCCTCTTTTATTAGACAAGCTTACAGTCATCAAGTTTCTATGTTTTTCAAAAGCTTGTTCAACAACTCCTGCAACTATGCAGTTGTTCTAATAAAAGATAGCACAATTATCACCGTCACATGTACTTCCTGGACCCTCTTGGGTAAATTCTTCAACTATACTTTAAAACATACAGAATTATTTTTGAACAAGCAGCTATATATTTTTCTTTACCTGGAGTGGACAAGTCTTTTACCTATTTACTAGTGTTGAAGAGAAGCATTATGCCCAGGTTGAATACATCTGCTGGGTATGCCAGAGACAATGAGCCTTAACATGTTGCCAATTTAATTTACTGGAAGCTTAATAGCTGACCCAGCAGAACAGATGTGATGACGTACCTGTTGACTAGTGTGTTATATGACTTCCAGTTCTTCCCTTCAGTCCAAAACCGCATTCACTCAATGACTGGTGGAGCAGTGTGGAAATTATATTACAGCACAAATCTTTAATTTTGGCTAAAGAGGAAATAAGGTCAAGTAAAATTTCTAATATAATGTTACAAGCTAATTCCTGTTAGAAGGAAATGTCTCAGGGGCACTAACTCTTTCCTATATCTTATATCTTAAAATATTTCTCTAATTAAAATAACACTTGAAACATTGAGACATCTGGTATTATTCAAGGTAACATTTTCTTTCATTGTAAAATCACTATATTAGATGTAGTATGAAGAGGTGTAGTATTCATATTTAGAATTGATAGAATGGTTTGAAGGTATGAATCCCTGGAGCACTTTTTTATTTTCTTCTGTGAAATTTGTATAGAGGAAAATCTGATCCACTACTGTCAATACTCATGACCTTTCAAATTGTTTGTAAAAACATGTGACTTTTTATATACTTTATCCATTTTTTTATTTTCCATTAAAGTTAACAGTATATGAAATCATAAATGCTATAGTTGTAGTTAAAGTGTATTATAGTCATGATTTATTTTCTGTAACAAGACCCTAGGAAATGGTTTATGACATTGATTATGTAGCTCTGTTTTGCTAGATAATTGAATGAGTAGACCCAAATATTCCTGCTTCCTATCCCTGCACTAGAGGTAGTTGAAAAATTGAGAGTATCTACCTACTACATTTCAAAAAGTAATTAATTCTCTTCCTAGAAACAGCAAACTTTTTTGTGTCTCTGATTCTGAAAGCCTCAAGTTTGGAATAGAATCATAGAAAATTAGGGTTGGAAGGGACCTCAGGAGGTCATCTAGTCCAACCCTATGCTCAAAGCAAGACCATCCCCAAATAAATCATCCCAGCCAAGGCTTTATCTAGCCAGGTCATAAAAACAACACAACCTCTCTGGGTAACTTATTCCAGTGTCTGACTACCTTCTTTATGAGAGGTTTTTTTTTCCTAATAGCTAACCTAAACTTCCCTTGCAACAACTTGGGACCATTGTTCCTTGTTTTGTCAGCTTATACCACAGACAACAGTCTAGCCCCATCTTCTTTGAAACCCCCTAGTTGAAGGTTGCTATGAAATGTCCCCCTTCAGTCTTCTTTTCTCCAGACTAAATAAGCCCAGTTTTGTATTCCTTTTCTCATAAGCAGGGATCCTGGTTTTCTCTGATTAAAAAAAATCCCAAATTTTCGCATATAAAAAAATAACCTAAACTCCACATTTTTCTGTGATTAAAATGAAATATAATTGTGTGTATATATATATATATATATATATATATATATATATAGTGGTATTTCATTTTATTTATATACATATTAATGGCAGTTTTTAAAAAATCCAAGAATCTACATTTTTCTGTGATTAAAATGCAATGCC